AGAAAAACTTTAATATAAGTTTAAACATAACAGCAAATGTACAACGTTTCGACAAGGTTTTGTCATCATCAGGTACATCGAAACGTTGTACATTTGCTGTTATGTTTAAACTTATATTAAAGTTTTTCTTCATTACCCACTCAAGCCGTCTCCAGCCATTATTAATCTTGGAACTTTAAAATACTTAATTTCCACTTTTGTTCTGACAACCAGTTTGTTTGGGGAAATGCATATATTTGAGCTCAACATATAACTTCTTTAAATAGTAAATACACATATAATATTAGATGGATGCAACCTCACTATTTGTTATTATTTCCTCTAGCATTCGTTAATATTTACATCACTAAAAAAATATTTTTGTGGCTAACTCAACCTTGTTACAGGAGCAGGTAAACATATTTAACCACAAATGATTTGAGCCTATACAAATATAACCAGGAACGTATTCGATAACTAAATATTTAGATATTATACTCAGTTAATGATTTCCTTTACAATCAAGTACATATCGAGTAAATGAATACTTATAAAGCTAATGACGAATTGAAATACAACGAAGCTTGTACCTAGTACCTGATTACTTGTCAATGTTAATGATCAATTATTGTCAACTAAATGCCATATGGAGTAGCTGAAACGTCTAATGCTAGACAAAAAATACGAATTCATTACAAAACCACTTATCCTATTAGTGGCTTAAAGACAGCCAGTCCCCTTTATTTGATAGTATTTCTGTTCAATGTAGTAATCCAAAAAGTTGTCGTCCCTTAAAATTTAACCTCGTTCTGAAAAATATTAATAGAAGGACCAGTGAATGCTAATCCACAGGATAAGTAGTTTTGCTCTATAGTATGGAAATGTAAATATTTCACTAATGTCCTCAATATCTTTACCTGTTAAAGTTATTCCCGAATAAACAGAGGAAAGTTCTGTGCATGTGAGAAAACAACTGAAACAAATCAGCAGTGTCTTGGTAAGAACTGAAATCAATTCGTGAAATGAATAGAACAAATAAATCATATGGTATTTGTCACAGAATGAGCAATCACTGAGGACAGAAAACAACTTCCAAAACTCCTTTTGGGTTGTCAGTTATTCATTGCTTCATAATCTAGACACAACCAAACTGCTGACCATAACACAAGATCCCTATTCAATAACCCGTCAATTTATTGTCTCGCGAAGGAGAACAGCGGGAATAGCTAACTCCGAGTCCGTAAACTCAGAAGACGGCTAATTGGCATGGTAGTCTAGTGCCAGTATATGGCAACCCCTGCTCGTGAAAATGAACTTGCAAAAGCCACAAGCAGAAGCTATGCCAGATTTCGCTTCCTATCCTAACCTGGAAGGCCAGTCGTAATTCACTTTGTTAATTGATTGGTGTTAGTCACGGTTGTGTGGTATTGATAAATTACTTGGCGTAACTACCAAATTACCAGGTTCACCAATCTTATAAAAGATCTGTATAGGCTGATGCATAACTTATACATAGAATGTCAGTATCAGACATTATGTGTAGAAAAATATAACGAAAACAACTGCGATGTAAGAAGTTCAAACGAATATTTAATACTTTTTAATGTTTATTAAATATAATGAAAGGTTTACCTTTATATGCCTCTTTCTATACATTTTAAACTCTTTTTGAATAATATGAAAAAGAAAATGTATGATTTTGTATATTTCACATAAAAATCCCTTTTGAAATTTAATTCTTGAAGTCACGGATACTTCAACAATAAGTAAAGAACGTATTTGACTTAATTTGCATATAAACACGTACATACCATATAAAATATAAGTATTCTGAAACTTTTACAAAGTATTATAAATAACATACTCTTTAGGTTTATCAATAAAGCATCATATACGAGAGCCCCCCCCAGTGGCTCAGCGGTATGTCTGCGAACTTACGACGCTAGAAACCGGGTTTCGATACCCGTGGCGGACAGAGCACAGATAGCCCTTGTGTAGCTTTGTGCATAATTAAAAACAAACAAATACTCATATCCGAAAGATCATCAGTGACGTGAAACTATTTGTCTTTCCTCGAACTTACTTGAGACGCACTAAACAAACCTAGAGTGTTTAATAAGACCTTCTTTTACACTTTTGTTTATAGACAAATTTTAGTTTTATCATCAAGCTGTGGTAACAAATTGAATGGAACATCAATGCGTAACATTTATAAAACTATACTGGATTCAAACGAGATATCTGCGGTAAAATCATCATTTTCAATAAATGTCTTTTCAAGTAGCAGCTAACGTTTTACTACAGAACTTAACTATTGTTCTAATACGAATCAGAAGCAGTAGTAATGCTGGATTCAGTACATGATGATAAGTTACTCATTTATTGAACAAGCAAAAACGTTTACACGTATTCTCACATGAACAGATAGTTTAACATTCTTAAGTTTTTCATTACAAAGTTGGCATATGAACAAATGCAAAGGTATAAGATGTTCTCTAAAAAACATAAAAGTGATTATCTTAATAAGCCTTACTGACAGATGGTGAATGAGATCGCCCAAGACACGTGACCTGTTCTAGCCAATGAATATTTGGCATACACCAAATCCCGAAAGAGTTCAAAGCTAGTTCTTGCTCGCACACCTGTGTAACATAGGCCTTACCTGCCCGATCGATGAAATAGTCAGGGAGTTGTCGGTTTCCCGCACATGTTTCACTGGATTCTCTCATGTCAGACTCGTGCTATTGTTGCATGAAACCTGACGTCATTGACGCGTGCACAGTTTCACAACATTTGTAAGGAATACGCGGTGAAACTTTCTAAGCTCCACACCTTGCTAGAACATCTAGAATCAGTGCCTGACTTGAAAGTCGTGTATGTATGTATGAATGGACAGTCATAACCTTCTTCACAGCCCTGCAGATTTCAAGTAAGTTTTCAAATTATTGTGTCACTATGTATATATATATATATATATGTATGTGTCAATAGAAAGTTTAAGATGAACTTCTTATAATTTCCCATGTTAATTCAAAAGACACTATACAAAGTTTCAGCTCATAACCAGGACATCTAATGATCCCATTTAAATCATTAAATGATTACAATATATATATATAAACGCAGCTTACATTAATAATATAAATAAAGGATGTGGCAAAATCTCTTAAATGTCAATGGACGCGCATGGAATGTCTTCTTCTAATATATAGTAACATTATTTGATTTAATGTTTCATAATCGCTAATAATGTAAAACAGATAAATACAGGTATTACATTATCATTACTTGAATTTTACATGCGGTTTACTTGAATTTTGATAATTAACTTATATAATTACCAACGTTTTCCTTGACTGCAAGTTGCAATGTAAATTATGCTTCTGAGTTTGTTTTTGTTATTTCATCTTAATTTTTACTAGACGCATTACTTGATCATTTCTAGTTAAGTAATGTAAGTTACCCTACACTTTCCGCGGACAGTGTTCCTCTGTGACATATAAGTCATAAAGTATTTACATATATCTATGAGATAATTTAATCATTTTAGTGATCGTCTCTAGACACTGTTACCTTAATATTGTTATCACACTAATGTTACGTTTCCACGGTAAGTTTCTTCAGAATATCAAATATTTTCAAAAGTGAAGAAGAAGAAAAAGTGATATCAAAATGCACATTGGAAATTTATACATTTTGTTTGTGTTAAAAGACAGTGTAAATTTAATCAGTATAAGTTATTTGTTCAGTTTGTGGCGAGTTTAATTTACTTGTTAATTTTTGTTTAGTGTATATATGGCTAAATATGCTGTAAATATATAATATTCATGTGTATATGTGGCATGTAGGTAAATAGTAGTGTAGGTACTGTGAAGCATAGTTTTGAAGTCTTTACCAGTAGTTTTTCTAGCGCGGGGAAACGAAACCGAATTTTAGGTATTCTTCATTGTCGTATAAAGCCATGCAAAACATTACCTATTCTTCATTGTCGTATAAAGCCATGCAAAACATTACCTATTCTTCATTGTCGTATAAAGCTATGCAAAACATTACATATTCTTCATTGTCGTATAATGCCATGCAAAACATTACCTATTCTTCATTGTCGTATAAAGCCATGCAAAACATTACCTATTCTTCATTGCCGTATAAAGCCACGCAAAACATTACATATTCTTCATTGTCGTATAAAGCTATGCAAAACATTACCTATTCTTCATTGTCGTATAAAGCCATGCAAAACATTACCTATTCTTCATTGTCGTATAAAGCCATGCAAAACATTACCTATTTTTCATTGTCGTATAATGCCATGCAAAACATTACCTATTCTTCATTGTCGTATAAAGCCATGCAAAACATTACATATTCTTCATTGTCGTATAAAGCTATGCAAAACATTACCTATTCTTCATTGTCGTATAAAGCCATGCAAAACATTACCTATTCTTCATTGTCGTATAAAGCTATGCAATAACACACTTGTTTTGTTTTTAGAGCAAAGCCATATTGTTGGGCTATCTGCAGTGTCCCTCACGATGAATCGAACTCCGGATTTTAGCGTTGTAAGTCCGTAAACTTATCGTTAACTCACCGGGAAACCTTTACCAACAGAAAACCGCTTATGTAATACCTATATCTAGTAAATACTTATTCTAACTATACCTTCATGATTTGGTAAAAGTAACTGAGAAGATTAATAGTTTTAAGGGTCACTTTAGATAGACATAGAAAGTTTTATAGCCAAGTTTCCTATCTTATTCTGAGTATGAAATACATATTCTGATGAATAAAATATGAAAGCATATCACAATATTTGAGTTTGAGCTTCTTGTTTTCGTGTCAAAAATTTATTATTTGTAGTTAAAGGCGTCTGCTATGTTACCATTCTTTTAGCAGAAGAAACTACAATTATGTATAATATGTCTATCGCTTTGCAAGTTTCCTTATATATAAGTTATACGCGACACCTTATTTCACAGGCTTGTTACTACACTATTCAAATTAGGGACTGTTTTGTGTCATGATAAGTTAAAAAATACTAATTAAAGAAGTACTTGGCAAAAAAAAAGATAAACTTATATGCTAATTGCAGGTTCTATATCATTATTTTGATCACAGCCCTACCTTTTTTGGCTTTTCTTACATTTATTATAAAAATCGTCTTTTGAGTTGAAAAAAAAAACAGGCCACAATTTACATTAGAGAATATTTTGTTTATCTTCAAGTTTATTATTTAGGCAAAATATCATAATCTATGCACTGGTTATTTTCAGATGTTATTAATAACATCCATCAAAAAGTTTTAGATAACTGTATTTTTACTTACTGTTTTGTCATATAAATGCGGAAACAAAACAGTTAAATCCCTGTTTTTAATGTTAGCAAATTAAATTTTAATCTGAAATTCTATCTCTTGTTAATAAAACGTTATATGCACTCTAAAATGTTAGTCATTTAATCCATCTGATGTTCAAATGTACTTTCTAAGGCACATATGATTATTAGTTTGACACTCTACCGTAAACGTGTCTAAACTTCACATATGTTTCATTCCTAACACTGCGGACAATGCATAAATAAAATAACTAATGTGTAAACTCTTATTTAAAAAACGTCGGTTGTACAGAATGTAATGTTATATCTTCCACAAAACTGCGTTATCACATATCCCATATGTTTTCAATCAAATCAACTGCTCTTCAAACATGAAACCTAAAACGTTACAAATATAGTTTGAGAAATGACATGGTTTGTCCCTCAGTCTTTATAACTAAGTTTTATGTGAGCCTCAAAATCAATCTAGATATTCTTTCAAACTATAATTAGTACTCTTTCAATAAGATATACAAATAGTAATGTTCAAAGCAACACAATGAACCCCAGATTTTAGCGTTATAAACCCTTAAGGATACCGTTGAGTCACCACCTGTCATGTAGTAGTAGTAAATAAAATACATTGATTAAAAATAAGATTTTTAAACAACTGGAATATAAGCCGTGCTAAATTTTTCAATAAATTTAACTACAATTAACGTTAAAACAAATTTTTCACAAAGTTCCATTGATTGGTATTTACGTTTAATTTGTTGAATCAAAACTCAACTGCAATGTTTGTCAACTTTTTCCAATATCATTTTTCAAATGCTTAATGATCAACCTAACTATAAACTTAATATACTTCAAACCTGTATTTCAGGATCTTGTTTCATTCCAGACACTTGATTTGGAGAAATACCTCTTTGAATTCTTTAATGTTACAGTTACATTATTTATTAAACAAACTGCCTAGTTTTAAAATGAGTACCTTTCGGTCCAGATTAAAAGTTGTCTCTAGCTACCGCAACAAAAGTTTTAATTAACATCTTATTGTGTTTATATATAAATCCTTCTTTTGAACAGATTTCTATAGCACAAAACAACCAAAAGTAACTTCATTTTTAAGCTTGTAAATATTTACAGAATGTCTGACGTATTTAATAAATACTCAGACATCGTTATAAGTGAATATGATACTCATATTGTTTCTTATGCAACATTATTTTCTTTCATTATTTTTGTAAAAACCTTACACCCATGATATTAATATCACCTTTTATCCTAGTGTTTTAAAACTTGTTATTTTTAAAAGGTTCCTAGTAGTTACGGCACTCAACTTGTAACCTGCGGATCGCGATATCGAAACCCAGCTCTGAACAAGCTTGCCCCTTCACCCCTAGGGTCGTTCTTACGTAACGGTAAATCCCACTATTTGTTGATAAAACTAGCCCAAGAGTTGACAGTTGGTGCTGCCGGCCGATTAACTTCTTTGTGGTCAGCAACTCAAAATTAGGGAATGCAGGAGATAACCTTAATACGTTGCCGTAAACAAATAACTCTATTCTTTTACGTTAGATTTGAAGTTAGTTTAATTTATGCAATACGAGTTTGAAATGATTATACAATAAACAAATTATGAAGTGAATAAAAAAATCTAAAATAATGTTTCAATGTTCTACCGCTAGAGCATTTTATGTTTTTCTGTAGTAATGCACAAAGCTACACAATGGGTTACCTGTGCTCTGCCCACCACGGGAATCGAAACGCGGTTTCTCGCGTTGTAAGTCCGCAAGACATACCACTGCGCCACTGAGGGTCTTATGTTTTTCTTTGTCTATTTTTAAGTACTGTTTTCTGAACAAGGCAGTTTTAGTTTGTACTTCATAGCAATACGCCCCCCAATGGCACAGCGGTATGTCTGCGGACTTACAACGCTAGAATCCGGGTTTCGATACCCGTGGTGGGCAGAGCACAGATAGCCCTTGTGTAGCTTTGTGCATAATTAGAAAACAAACAAACAAACAAACATAGCAATACATGCAATTTAAGTGAAACTTCTGAAATTCTTCAAAAGTGTTAAACAAAGGATATGAGTATTAAAACTAACTGTGAAAGGTAATTTGCATTTAAAATATTGTTTTCTCGCAATGGTCTTTTCATAAAATAATGAAGATCCTAAGTAATTAATTCACACATTTGTTCTTGTTACTGTATATCATTTATAATGATCCGTTTTATTAAATTAGCACAATTATAACAAATGTACATGATATTACTCTGCTTTCCCAAAAGTATCAGCATATGTAGCCTATAAGGGGTAACCCTAGTAATTGCCCATTTCTGTTATGCTATCATTTAGATTTCGAAAACTTTCTGGTACATATATTTGTTGTTGCTGTTTCAAACGTTCGGTAACTTGATGACAAGATGAAGGCTGTAATCTAAACTTTCGAAATAGCTTTTTTTTTTGTAGTGGCTATAAAGATGTTCTATAAAGTCAAAGTCTGCGTTCTGTTTTGATCATTTTAAGATCAAATGGTACTTATTTTGAAACTAAACATGAGTCCTACGTGTCTTGTGACATGAAGCGTTATTCTCCTGAAACGTTAG